GATGATGAAAATGCATAGAAATGGGAAGATGTTTGTCCCAGGGAGCTGGAGGCAGTAGCTGTAAACAGAATCAATGGAAGCAGAGATTTTGGACAGTGGCTTGGGGATAGAAAAATTGAGGGAGAAGGCTTTCAAGAAATCTCTCAGGTAGAAATGACTACTCTATGTGGTAAGAATGATATCTTTGGAGCTTTGGAAGAATAGTTAGATGATGATGATGCCATTGACTGAATTAGGGAATAGGGAAGGAGGAATAAGTTGTGGGAGAAGACGATGAGTTTGAGTTCGGATGCATTTTGTTTGAATTGACCATAGAACATCCAGCAAGAGGTGCCTGGGTTCTTGCAGAAGGTACCTATTGTGGAGTCTGATATCATGATGGGGCATTGCTCAGTTGAGGAAAACTATGTAAGGTGTATAGAAGACTGCCAAGCACAAAACAGGAACATTTTATTGAAGGAAACAAGAGGGAGGAGCCAGTGAAGAGGCCTGAGAAAGAGTGGTCATGTATATAAGGGTAAGAGTGGAACAAAGGGAAGGCTCTCTTGAAAACCAGGGAAGAACAAGTGGGTCTGTTTACTAGGGCTGCCATAGCATATTGTCACAAACTTGGCTTAACACAACCAAAATTTATTCACCCACAGTTCTAGAGGCTGAAAGTCTGAAGCGGCCAACAGGACCACTCCCTCCAAAGGCTGTAGAAGAGAATCCTTCCTTGCCTCCTTTTAGCTTCTGGAGTCTCCTGGTATTCTTGAGATTGGATGCAACTCCAGTCTCTGCCTCTTTCTGCATGTGGTCTTTTCCCTTTTGCCTCCATGTCTCATAGCTCCCTCTTCTTTTCTTGTAAGGACACCAGCCATTGGATTTAGATACCACACCAAAGCCAGGATGCTCTCATGTTGAGACTCTTCACTTGATTACATTTGTAAAGACCTTATTTCCAAACAAAGTTACAGTCTTAGGTACCAGAGGTTAGGACTAGGACATATCTTTTTGTGGATCACAATTCAATGCACAACAGTAAATCACAACAAATGTCAGAGAAATGAGGACTGGATATACAATTGGATTTGACAACAAGAGAGTTATTGATGACTTGAATCAGAACAATTTCAGCAGAATAGTGGTTTGGAAACCAAAGTAAGGAGTCAAGGAACAGGTAGGAAATTATTTCTCTTTCAAGATACTTGTTCAGGTCATGACTGGAGAGACCTGTAAGTGTTGATATGGTCTAGTGCTCCCTCAGGAAGAAGGCAACATCAACAGTGCAGCAAGTAGGATCATCTAGTTTACAAATGATCTGGAAGAAGACAAGAAAGGTTAGGTAATTTGTCGAAGGCCATGTAATTTGAGTTCAGCCTAGAATATAAGATTTCTACCTTCCAGAGTTATGCTCATATTTATTTATTCTGAAAAAATACTGAAAATTGCCAAGAAAAATAAAAATCATTCATAATCACAGAGCTTTAGAAAATAACCTGAAAAAGCTTAGAGAAATTTGCATTCTACCTGGAGACTGAAGGGGCAAGGAGGGGTAGGGTAGCCAACCACTCCCTGTCTGCCCTGGGTGTAAAGAGTTCCTGGGACATAGGAATTGACTGCTAACTTTGAGAAAATCCAGGGGAAAGTTGGACAAGTTAATTACTATAATTAGAAGAGGGAGTTGTTATGGAGACCCAATAAAAGCTGTGGCCCAGGGACAGACATGCAGAATAGAAGGGGAAAGTAGCTAAACAAAGGCCCAGCAGAGAGGGAGTTGAGTGGGGGAGGTAGAGAGATTGGGGTATATATTTTGAGAATAAACACCCCATCTTTACTCTCCTCCCAATCTCCAATCTGCCAATTTAACTAGAGAGGTAAGGAGCCCAGGTTTGTAGTCCCTCAAGATTATTCTCCAGAGCATTCAGCAGGCAAGAGAAGAGCTGAGAATGGATATGAAGGAATAGACAGCAAATAACCAGCAGAACCTTCTACTATGTGCTAGACATTGTGCTTGGTGCTTTACAGAAGTTATTTTCTTTAATCCTGAAAACCACTTTGAGAGGTAGATACCATTAATCTCAGCATTTACATGTGAGAAACCTTAGTCTCAGAGAAGTCAGATGACGTCACTGATGAATGCTTTCTTATGACGGCTCAAAATACAACATCTAAATTTCCTCTTTAAAATCACACAGTTATCCTAGTTACTCAGCCTTCATTTAGGTACTTCCAAATCTACACATTTGTAGCTAAAGATTTATTGGTAATTTCTAGTATTACTTTTACATAGATTTCTCTTCCTCCTTACACAATGAGTTTGAATTATGTCATCAAAAGATATAAAATTTAATAATAAAAAGTCAATATCAGCAAAAATATAGATTTGGAAAAAGGCAAAGACTGAAGGAAAAAAACAAATAGAATCTAGATACTTAGAATGCAAAGTGTTATCAATTGCTATAACCGGGCTGAGATTTTGACCTAAAGTTCCTGATTGTCAAAATGGAAAGATAAACGTGGGCAGTCACAAAGTTCTTATTGTTAAAAAAAAGAAAGACATTTCTTTCTGAGATGAATACTGTTCTAAGGGCTTTATATACCTATTTCATATGGATACCCCACAACAACACTCATTTACAGATGAGGGAAAAATGCACAAAGAGGTTAAGTAGTCTGCCCATGAGCAGATAGCTAGCAATTGGTGGAGGTGGATTTCAGACTCAGACCATCTGACTCCAAGGTCTGTGCCTTTATCCACTCCACTGGGGTGTTGCTAAGGAAAACAGATCTGTTCCTGAGAAAAAGGAAAACTTTTCCAAATACTTACTTCTGTGTTTTTCAATGTGGGCCATTATAGAGAAAACCCTGAAAGAGGCAGTGGATCAAGTTCTCCATGATTCTTCTTTGCTGAAAGTTAAGGATTTAACAAAAGTACAAGTCAGTAGACAGAATCCTCAGGAAACCAAGATGATATGATCTGCACTTGGGTAATTGCATCTGTGAATTGATCTTCCTTAGTCTGACCAAATGTATCCATGTTCATGAAACAACTTTATTTTATGTATAATACAAGATAGAAGCCATGTGTACATGTGCTGTAATGCTAGTGTGGAAGATGAAAGAAAAAAAAAGGAAGGCCGAAGGAATTGCTGGTTCTCCACAGAAATGCACACCAGTACAAGGAAATAAAATAACCACGGTCTGCATGAGGGATTTGGTGTTATGGGCTGAAAAGCTTTGATGGTAGTAGTCAACTGGTGCTTTAGCCTGGAGATACGGAATAAATTCAGGGATCTTAATAACACCTTGTCATGACTTATTTGATGTTACATTGGAAGGTCTTTGAACCGTAACAAATGTCCTGTGATCTGTCCCAAGGCATTTGGCATTAGAACTTTTCAGGAATATAATCAAGATCACTGAATATAGAGAAACACACATTTTGACTTATGTATTTTTCATGTCATGTGCATGGGATTTAGAGAGTTTTAGGTATATGCACACTCAGTTAGCCCACAGGTGGCTTGTGAACATAGAAAACAATTTACAGAGTTCATACTATACAGCTTGGATTACAGAAATCTGACATTGAAAGGCTTTTCTGTTTGTTTGGGAACCCATTATCTCATCTGTATGATTATACATCCAATTGATAATAGACTTATACTTCAGTCATCGGTCAGAATGGTTATAGTTTTGATTTATTGATTTTTGTTGGATCACTTCTTTCTTGGAGGGCTATTCATCTTTTCCTCGCTGCATGCGTATCTGATACATATCCACTCTTGGAAGGCGGACGACCTGGGGCCTATGAAATCCTTGGCAGAAGGGGCTGGCACAGCACAGGCTGTTGACTGCTGGGGATATTTAAGCTGAAAATACATGATGCAGAGGCAAGGACATTGCTGTTCTTCACTTTTTAATGTGCTGATTTTCTCTGGATTTCGTTTTGTGACTAAATTTAAATGTAGGAGGATCTTGTGGGTGTGTGTGTACTCTGCATGAGAAAAGTAGATCATGCTATGAAATTTTGATTTCTTCAGTCAGGTACGTAGCAATTCACATGGTCTCAAGCCACAAACATTACCTCATAAATGGCACCATGGAAATGTGTCAACAAAATTCAGCCTACTCAAATCAGGTCTTAGAATAACAGCTGCTGGTGCTCTGGCTTGAGAAGCAGGTGTGAGACCACCTATGGTAACGGCTCAGAAAGCTTCCTGTCAGTAGGAAAACGGCATGGGTTTCCTCCAAGGTGCCAAATAACGCAGCAGATAGGGTAGCAACATGAAGATAAAATGTTAATATGATTTACTTTTCCCAAGTACTTGGGTTAGTGCCAGAGAAAAAAAATTAATTATAAAACCACTGCTCAAACCAAAGCATTCAGCCTGCAGCTAATATACCAGGGCCTGTTTCTGAACATTTATGTTTTTCTGTTTATGGATTACCAGGCTATGAAAATCCCCGTGGAAGGAGGTCGGAAGATGGGGTTGGTTTAATCCATTGTAGGACAGTACTTAGCATCTGTTTTTACAAGAAAGAGCATGTAATATAAACTGTATGTGTGTGTGCTTGGGGTGGGCAGTGGGGTGGGGGGGCTGATTAAGAGTGGAAAAGTGAGAGAGCTATCAAATGTGGAGGGAGCTGCTCCGCCAGGGAGGTCCAAGGTTTTATTGCCTGAGAACTGTATAACCCACTGCCAAAGGGGAAACGGGCTCCACCCTACCTGCTCGAATGAAAGCTGCAAAAGCAAAGGACAAGCGGAGAAACCATTAGGAAATCTTTGTCTAAAATGTAGAAACAGCATGAATGCTCCCTGTTATCTTTCACAGGCTGGCCCCCCACACTTGCGGCTCTGAGACAAGCAGCATCATGTCCACAGTGCTGGAAAAGACATTTTGCATACTCTTGTAAAATCTTGAAAATTTGGCTTGCATTTGCTTCTACCCAGATCTTGGAAGATTTTTTTTTTAATCACTGCATGCTTTCAAGAGCAATTTATCTTAGAGCTCTGGTTAATTTTATCGTTTATTAGAAGTCTAAGGTTTTATGGTGAAACTGAGTGTGGGCAAGAGTTAAGAGCTGGAGGAAGGAGGGGGCTGGCTGACTGTGCTGCAGGAAGCTAGATGTGGCAGAGACATGCATTTTTAGCCTTCATGAATTTCATCTTGATTTGAAGGGTGTCTGGGTCTGAGAGGGCCACATATACTCTGAGTAGGATTATCTACAGCAAATGACAGCATAGTGTGTGATGGCCTCGGACTGTTTTTATTATGTTGTTCTGAAGTATTTTTCACCCACTGCAATTTACTTTCCGTGAAATTGATATCTGTGAATAAAATGTAATAGATCAGAATAAAGGCAGCGACAATTACACTGATTAAAATGGAATCCCATTATGTGTATTCTCTTTGGAAACCCAGCATCCTCTGGTAAAGGAGAGCAAATCAAGCAAGGTATGTCTCAACTATTCTTAGTTCCACCTTAGCTCTTATATGTAGACTGCTTGGGACTAGGTAGGGGACGGAGTTTTGCCATTAACAAAACAGAAATCTAAAGAGATATTTTCTAAGATTCTTCTGCATAAGAAGGACTTGGGAATGGCTCAATAAAACAGAAAAGATATCCTGTATAAGCAGGCTGGACAGGGCTTTTTAATCAGTAATTTTTTAAAATTAATAAACTTTATTTCCTTAGAGCAGTTTTAGGTTCATAGGAAAATTGAGCAGAGAGTACAGAGTTCCTATGTATTCCCCGCCCCGCCCTCTGCAGCCCTCCTCCCCACTATCAACATCCCCTACCAGAGGGGTACATTTGGTACAGTGGTTGAACATGGACACATCATTATCATCAAAAGTCCATAGTTTAGGGGTGTCTGGGTGTCTCAGTCGGTTACACGGCCGACTTTGGCTCAGGTCATGATCTCATGGTTCACGAGTTTGAGCCCCTCATTGGGCTCTGGGCTGACAGCTCAGAGCCTTGAGCCTGCTTGGGATTCTATGTCTCCCTCTCTCTCTGCCCTCCTCTACTCATGCTCTGTCTTTCAAAAATAAACGTTAAAAAAAAAAGTCCATATTTTACATTACGCGTTCTCTCTTGATGGTGTACATTCTATGGGATTGGACAAATGTATAATGATATATTATCCACTGTTGAAGTATCACACAGGATGCTTTTATTGCCCTAAAACTTCTCTGTTCTGCCTTTTCATCCCTCTCTCTTCCCTGGCATCCACTGCTCTTTTTACTGTCTGCATCATTTTGCCCTTTCCATAACGTCATATAGTTGGAATCCCACAAAACACAGACTTTTAAGCTTGGATTCTTTCACTTAGTAATACACATTTAGGGTTTTTTTCCATGTGTTTTCATGACTTGACAGCTTATTTCTTTTTAGTGCTGAATAATATTCTGCTGTCTGGATGCAGTTATTTAATTTCAAATTAAGTATTCTGCTGAAATGGAAGAAATAGAAATGTGGGTTGTGCTATTGTGGGCAGAAAACAGACTTAACTAAACTATCTGTATCAGTGAAAGGCAAATGAATGAGGCCATGCCATTTTTCTTGGTAGGACAGCATTGAGGTTTCTGTGACAGAGAACACTCATTCTTCTGGGAGTTTCTGCATGATCACGGTGGAATCCCATTCTATGGAGTTCTTTAAATTGTTTGGACCATATTTGTTAGTGGAGACAGAGCTTCCTACTTGACCACAGCACACTGGATTCTCCATTAGATTTTTCAGTGAAGAGAGAGCTTTCTATTGAAAGAAAATTCCCAGAAGCCAGGTCTTATCACTTGAAGAATTTGCATGTCATTAATGTGCCATCATACTCTAGAATGCTGGGTATTGTTTTCCCATAAAGGACAGTTCCATACTGATAAATTTTAGCTTTTTTTGCTTTTGTTGGTTAACTTAAAGGAAACCTTTTCTCCTTTTGATTAGATCATCAGAGAAGAAAACAAGTTTCACATAAAATGCAAAACAGACACGGAAGAGATATTTAAAGTTAGTATGAGGATATTAAGTTTTGGGGCCATTAAACGAATCCATTAATTATATAACCATGGTGTGGGATAAATCAGAGGAAGGAGATGATTACCACGTTTCCAATCCTGTTGGATTTAGGAGAGTTGGCTTTGAGCATTTTCCAGCTTGATGCTGAATGTCACAAGGAGACACGTGGGTTTTGCTGTTTGTTAATGAGATGTTGTTAGCATTCAGTTGAGTACTAACACAGAAGAGCTGGTGCTGCTGACTCAATGCAGTAAACATTTGACTCATTGTGACAGAACATCTTTTCATGATGAAGGGCACCACCTGCCAGAGGGAGGGCCAAAGACTGATTTATAGTCCCTAAAGCATCAACACTGATGAAATTCGGATGCCCTTGCAATGCTTGCCCCCTCCGCAATGCCAGGTTGGACGTCGCTTGTCCCAGCTCATGATGTTCAGTGCAGGAATGCTTTTACCCTGATGTTGGACTCAATGCCCCCTTTCCAAACTCCTAGACCCTCAATTCTTCTGTTTTGAACTGAAGAAGATGTTTTATTCCAAAATTGATTTCTATTAGGCTTTATAACCAGGGCATGTAGAACTTCTAGAATAGACGATGAAGAAATATTATCTGTCTAAACATGAAGAGAGGCAAGAGTCCATCAACAGTCACTTTGGATTAAGCTCTTACCATATGACAGGCACTGAGTAAGGTACTGAGGATATATAGATGAATACGGCACAACTCTTAAACGAGAGAAGTTGATAGTAAGTGTGGTAGAAAGTCATTTAAACAAATGCTTATGGTACAGCCTGATGTAGGCAACAGTATAAACACCAGAGTATTAAACTTTTTGGAGGACTCATGGGGGTGTGTGTCATGGAAGGTTCCATTTAGTTCACTAGGTGGTGGACAAAAGGACGGGGGAGGGGGCATTCTAGGCAGAAAGCATCACATGTTCAAGGCACAGAAGTATGGTATCTTATAGTGATTAGAAATGCATTTTTGCCAGAGCATAAAGATGAGAAGGTGAGGCTAGGACAGCTCTGTGGCTGGAGATCCAGGTAAAAGCCACACCAGGAAGCAGCTTTATGTCATTAAGGAGCTTGTGTTTATCTTGTAGTTATAGGGACACACTAAAGGGATCCATCAACAGAGTGACTTGGCTCCCCTATATTTTAGAGAGACAGTTGTGAGCATCACAGAAGCTGATTTAGGGAAGGACAAGATTGACAGAGGGAGGCCAGTTAGGAAGTTGTCAGCACATTTCAGGTAAGAGATGGTAGCTTCTGTGAGTAAGAAGACCGAAGAGGTGAAACGCACAGGAGGATGGCGTTCAATGGGAAATGGATGGAACTTGAAGATCTGGTGAATGTGGGGCATGAGGGGGAAATCTGGATGACTCCCAGCTCTCTGCCATGCAGAAACAGTCACTGCCACACTGAAGCCACAAGTGAGGTGGAGAATACATGGAGAGAAGCAGAATTTGTGAGTTGTGTGGTAAGGTGGTAAATATGGTGGCATTAAGAATAAAGAATTTGGGGCTGGGCAATCTGCATTTGGGGGATCTAGGGGCAGTAGATGGAAGAGTCCAGTAGACAGTGGGATGTGAGCATCTCAGCTGGAAAGTCAGGTTGGCATACCTCATTGGGACCCCCAGGTCTAGGTGTTTTGTTCTTTGAAAACCAAAAAGATATAGCAGTTCCCCCTTATCTGCCTTTTGGTTCCATGGTTTCAGTTTCTGAGTTAATCACAGTCCATAAGCAGATGATTCTTCTTCTGACATATCATCTGTAGGTCAATAGTAGCCTAACGCTGTGTCATAATGCCTAGATCATTCACCTCACCTCATGTCACCATGTAGGTATTTTATCATCTCATATCACCACAAGGAGGAGGGTAGATGCAGAGTAATATCTTGATGGGGGGGAGAGAGTGCATTCACATTACTTTTACTACAGTATGTTATGCTTATTCAGTTTTATTATTAGTTATTGTTACTCTGTGCCTAACTGATAAATTAAACTTTATCACAGGTATGTGTGTATAGGAAAAAATACATACTAGATAGTTGCGAATGGCATATCAGATAAAGGACTAGTATCTAAAATCTATAAGGAACTTACCAAACTCCACACTCGTAAAACAAGTAATCCAGTAAAGACATGGGGCAGAAGACATGAACAGACACTTCTCCAAAGAGGACATCCAGATGGCCAACAGACACATGAAATGATGCTCAGCATCCCTCCTCATCAGGGAAATGCAGATCAAAACCACACTGAGATACCACCTCACACCAGTCAGAGTGGCTAAAATGAACAAATCAGAGACTATAGATGCTGGTGAGGATGTGGAGAAACGGGCACCCTTCTACACTGTTGGTGGGAATGTAAACTGATGCAGCCCCTCTGGAAAACAGTGTGGAAATTCCTCAAAAAATTAACAATAGAACTCCCCTATGACCCAGCAATAGCACTGCTAGGAATTTACCCAAGGGATACAGGGGTGCTGATGCATAGGGGCACATGTACTCCAATGTTCATAGCAGCACTCTCCACAATAGCCAAATCATGGAAAGAGCCTAAGTGTCCATAAACTACGAATGGATCAAGAAGATGTGGTTTATATATACCATGGAATACTACAAGGCAATGAGAAAGAATGAAATCTGGCCATGTGTAGCAACATGGATGGACCTTGAGGGTGTTATGCTGAGCGAAATAAGTCAGGCAGAGAAGGACAGATGCCATATGTTTGCACGTATAGGTGGATTAGGAGGAACTTAATGGAGGACCATGGGGGAGAAGGGGAAAAATAGTTGGGGAGAGGGAGGGAGGCAAACCATGAGAGACTCTTGAATGCCGAGAACAAACTGAGGGCTGATGGGGGAGGGGGAGAGGCAAAGGGGGGGTGATTGGCATGGAGGAGGGAACTTGTTGGGATGAGCACTGGGTGTTATATGGAAACCAACTTGAAAATAAACTATTTAAGAAAAAAAAAGAAGAAACATACTATATATAGGGTTTGGTACTATCTGTGTTTCCAGATATCCCCTGGGTGTCTTGGAACATATCCCTGGAGATAAGGGTCTTCTTTATATTAAAACATAGGTAGTTGATGCTACTTGTCAGGAGTCCAGCTTCCCAGGGTCCTTGTTTCTAAAAGATGTGTTATTCCAAATGATGCTTAAAAATTTCATTTCAGTTTTTAAGTGTTTGTGGATAAGACAAACATCTGTTTCTAGTCCTGTTCTTTACCTCCTCTTCTTGCAGGGGAGAATATTGACAGCACCTGCTTTGAATCAAGCAGAGTCATGCCTCCTTGTCTAATATTCCCACTTGATCTTATCTTTGTCTGCTTCTCTCATCCTGCTCCAGTAATCACAATAAATGCATCACCTGTCTTGCTTTATCTACCTCCCATGGCAACTGACTGCAGTGAGTGCTTTTTAGCTCCATTCTAAAGATGAGCAAATAGGCTGAGATGAGCGAAGTGAATTGTCTGTTGACAAGCATAGCTGGAATTTGCAGAGCTGGGATTTGAACATGACAGATTCCAATGCCTATATTCTGAATCATTGACTTCTATTGACACTTCTTTTTCTCCTGATTTATTTCAGTAAGTCAAAGGCAAAGTTTTGATGTTTTCAATAACATTCACTTAACATCCCATGAAGTTAAAAAAATGAACAAAGAGGGGGAGCCTGGGTGGCTCAGTCAGTTAAGCATTTGACTTTGGCTCAGGTCAGGATCTCACGGTTCATGGGTTTGAGTCCTGTATCAGGCTCTGTGATGATGCTGTAAAGCTTGGGGCTTGCTTCAGATTCTGTGTCTCCCTCTCTTTCTGCCCCTCCCCCGCTCATGCTCTCTCTCTCTGTCTCTCAAAAATAAACATTAAAAAATGTTTTTAATTTTAAAAACTTAAAAAATAAGTGAAGAAATACAATTCAACACAGCCCTAACACTTTTTTTTTTTTCAATACTTCATTGATAGTACAAAGGTCTATAAGATACTTGGAAATAGTTCATCATTTAGACTGGTCCAGGATAATGTTTCTACTTATGTAAAAAAAGACTAGGGCCTCATTCTGAGATCCATTAGCTGGAACCATCTCCAATTGCCAACATTATTGTGAGGCCTCTGAGGGGAGGCAGTGGAATGCATTTGAGGGAGCATGAGGTGGGAGATCTGGAAGCCTCGAGCTCTGTCTAGCTCCAGCTCTGTGTGCCTTTGGGCAATCACTTCACCTGGCCTACGATTCCTTTTCCGTTAATGAGTGGTTTGTATTACATCAGTAATTCCCAAACTTTTCGAAGCAACAGACTCCCTTCCTTCTGATGATACCTTGAAAGGAAGCCCAATATAAAAGTCAGATAAGGGACAGAATGCTTGCTTGAAAAAGAATGAAGGTACGTGAGACCACAGCTTGAAAACCATTGAACTGGATGGTCTCTAATAGAAGTTTTAATATTACTGATTAGACCTTAATCAAGGACAGGGTGGTATTTTGTTTTCTGATAGTGTTACTATTATTTAAAATTTTAGAAGATTGAAATATATTTGTTGTATACCACTGTATAAATTGAAGTACAACATATCTTAACTCGATATATTTATATATTGTAATATGATTCCCACTGTAGTGATAATAAGCATCTCTATCACTTTACATAAGAATTATCATTTCTTGGGGCTCCTGGGTGGCTCAGTCGGTTGGGCGTCTGACTTTAGCTCTGGTCATGATATCACAGTTCATGGGTTCGGAGCCCCATGTCAGGCTCTGTGCTGACAGCTCAGAGCCTGGAGCCTGCTTCAGATTCTGTGTCTCCCTCTCTCTGCTCCTCCCCTGCTCACGCTCGTCTCTGTCTCTCAAAAATGAATAAACGTTAAAAAAAAAGAATTACCATTTCTTTTTAGTGGTTGGAATAATTAAGTTCTAGTCTCTTAGCAAGTTTGATGATTACAATATAGTATTGTTGCCTACATTTACTATACTGTATGTATTAGATGTCTCATTAGGCCTCATTTATGACTTTTAAGTACTTAAAATATCTTTCCTGACTTTTTAGGTATTATTAACAAATAATAAACTGCACATATTTAGAGTATAATATTTGATGAGTTTTGACCTCTGTCTACATCCATGGAAGCATCACTACAATCAAGATCAACATGTCCATCACCTTCAAAACTTCCCGGGTCATCCT